ATCTGAGAAGGTATGAATTGGACACTTCAGTGGGCTGCCCACCCTACTGCACGAAACTATTGTGATTTAGAATCGACTCTCCCATTCCCACTTGGCATACCTGTCACCTGGTGACAATGGAATTGGTTTGCAAAAGTCAAAACCAGACTTTCAAGGAGGCCACTCCATTGCCAAGGCGGCCAACCTCGACGCACCCAGTGCACCAGCTTTGGGTGAACTCGAGTTGGACGAGCCACTTGGAATGCGCCAGTTGGAGAGACTGGGAGAGAGCGCATCACTGGATGAAAGGATGGAAGCGATTCACAGCTCGATGCGGGCAACGATACAATGGTGTTCAGTTAGCCTTTGGGCATGCGCAAAATCACCAAAGGATGTGTAGATGCCTGCCTCATGCATGATAGCTGTGTCAATGTCCTGTCTTTATCCAAGAGCTATTGGTTGAAATATGTTGGGTACAAGTGAACAACCACTCAAACGATTTGTGGTTGTGTACCCGTTGCTACCACACATGGGGGGGGAAGAAAACTTGGCCAGATAGTTGGCCTGAGTGTGGCACAGTGGCACCCAATCATGGCCGGGCCTTGCAGGGCCAAACTTGAAAAGTATCGTGTGGAATGTCATGTCAAAAGCCTAAGGAAACTATGTCAATGACACATGTTGGGTCATGTGTCATGAGGCGCATGAGGCTCGTATTAAAGACACTTGCCCATGAAACATACAATCACAAACAGATAAAAGAACTGCCCAACGAACCTACCAACACAACCCTGTTTTCAGGCAGTGTCCTGTGTACCTGCTGGAAGTTTCAATCCCTGAAGGTCTAGGACCGCAGGGACGACTGCCGCAAAAAATAAAGGGGAGGCAACATTGGCCGTGTGGGGACCACCGGGCTGCGTTTCTGAAACGCCTGGCGCAAGGGGGTAGCTGTTTCTTTTTCTCCTCTGTATGTAAGTCTTTGTATATGTATATATATATATATATTATATGTAGATTGTGCACTGGTGTGAACCGGGTGAACGCTGTCCAATTCATGAATTGTATGCAGTGGAGGTGGCATGTTCCTGAGTGTGGAACAAGGGAAGCATGAGCATGAGCCTCTGCTATCGGAGGCATGCAGTTTGAGTCGATCAGGTGAAAATCAAGTGACTTCTTGCTAGAATTCAGAAGGCAAAAGCCCAAACTCTCAATGCGTTCAACATCAGAAACAAATAAAAAACTGAAACATAAAGTATTGATTCCAACCTTTCAACCAGTTTTGACCTTGTAAGCAATTATATATGTGTGTGTGTGTGTTTCTTTTGTGGAGCTGCCGGAGCCCGGCCGGGGCCAACGGTAGGACCCGATGACCTGATGAAGGTGCAAGTACCAGCCGCTGGGTGTGCCGAGGCGGGTCGTCCGGGTGCCGTCGAGTCAGAACGAAGATCAAAATCCTTGATGACTTGGCGAAGGTCACTGAAACTACCCTCAGCTACCAGAACCATGAAGAAAGAAGGTCTTAGCGTAATTGGGGTGCAAATTTCTTGATGACTTTCAACTCATATCCTTTTCAGAGTGCTCAAGACCTAAAGTAGCCTCAGTAACTGGAACTCCCGAAAGGTTACGATCGGGAAGATGTGTCTATGAGATGTGACCAATCCAGAAATCCGGTTTGGACATGGCTGCTTGAACTCGTTGAACATTTGTTCTTTCCAAGCTGTTGGACAGTGAAGTACCCACCAGGGTTGTTGACCGGGTTGTTGTAGCTTACAAATTTTCCATGAAAGGGGGTATCAAAATGCAACTTGCATTTTTCAAGGACTCCCGTTCCCGTGGCCCGTCACTGGGGGTAGGGATATTAAGCTCACTTGATTTGCCCATATCATTTGCATACTAGTTTCTTGCTTTGCTTGCTATCCCTACTGTACTATACCGCACCCCAAATCATTTCAGTCCAATTTTGCTGTACTCTACCCGATTGGGAAGATTGTACCGAAAAACCAGTCCAACCTGATTTTTTTGGGGGGGTCAGTCTATATGTTTAGACTTCTCCCACTAGCAGTTGGAGTACCCTTTTCGAGAGTGTCTCAAGTCTGGCGTGTGTACACTACCAAGCTTGACCAGCAAGACGTATAATTAATGGAGCAAGGAGTCAAGATCATAAGCTTTCCTGGCTACTTGTAACAGTAAGCTGTAGCCACTAAGGAGCTCCACCCTGCCCATAGAGAGGCACATTATTAAGTAGAGGGAAGAAGTAAGGTGAGCATGGTGAACTGAAGTCAAAGCAAGAGAGGACACACTCCAGGGAAGTTGTTGGGAGTCTAAAGTCTTACATGAGAGAAGCAGCTGCCACTGAGGGCCAAGAAGTCATCGCCATCAGCATCCCCTGGGGCTTAGTGCCCAGGTGAACGGATGGTTTCACGGATGGATGGGCTCATGATGTTTCAAGCATGCCATAGGCGAAGCAACTAGTCAATTTGGATTTGAACTTCCCACCTTGGACTTGAAGTCAATTTAGTCAACGACATTTGCTCCTTGTGATCGGCCCATTTGTGCCATGAAGTCACGGCTTCAACCAACCACCCCAGCATCCACAATCTCCAGTAACCAACACCACCGCATTCAAACGGCCAGTATTTGGGTATTATGGATGATGCCCAACCAATCAATTGCTTTTGCCTTGCTTGTCCCCGTGTGCCGGTATCATTATTCATTACTTTGGGGTCACCCATGGACTACCTGACTTGCAAACCTGCATTGGACCCAGACCCCTTGGATGGTCCTGGCAACCAGCATTCACACGAGAACGTTCACACGGTGAGTGCTGGAGCTTCCTGAAACTGGTCTTCGGTGCTCATTGCGAAAAGAAGTGGACATGAAGATCCTTTGGCTACTGCAATCAATTTTAGACCGGGATGCGCCTCAAAACCCATTCAAGCTGGCATGCCATCATATTCTGGTGGCTGGTTTTTTTCCCTTTTCCCCTGAGCACCACACACATAGGAGTCACAGGAGGCTGTTCGTTATAAGTAAAAGCGGCCCATGCTGTTTTGGCCACAAAAGTTTCAGGTGCGCACCATGGGGTTGCAGCTTGGGATTCTCCCAGACCATCAAAATTGGGACATGAATCACATGGAAGTGGATGGGGTGCCCCATGTTTGGTTCATGTGGCTTCTACATGGTCCAAGGGAGCGATTTCTACATCCATTCCTTTCGTCAGTGAGAGTGTAGTGGAACCGGTCATCTGAGGTGCCCGGACAACCCTTGCGCCTGTGGTGGGACCCTGCAGCCAACTCGCTGGCAGTTCATGCGAGGCATGAACACACGACACCAAGAGGAGTTCATCTTTGGCGAGTTTTTGTATTTGTATTTATGGCGCGTCTATAACAATATAATATACATGAAAATTAAATTTACCCAGAACTTAAAACTGGTAACCCTAGGGCCCTAGGATCCGAGAAGATACACAGTTTACTCTAGGATTTCATAAGGATCAAAAGCCAGCAACTATATGTAATGCAATCATCGATCACCTCGAGTAGACTTATATAGTAGAGAAATATGTCCGCTACTTACCCTGGTTAAAGTTAGTACGCATTTGCGCCCGAGTTTACTGAAGATCGTTTTGGTGTCTCCAAATGTTTGGTGTGGATGTTCTTTTTGCTCAGTATCATTTGTCCAAACCCAATTTGCGAACAATCCAATGCCGCTGTAGGAGTACAGACCCAGCCTTATGCTACGTATGTTTAATGATTGATGAGTTGTTTCTGCTATGACGAAGGGTTCCCCAGCCAGACGTTTGGCAGACGGCGGCTGCAGGCAGGATTGGCAGGCCCTGCGTTCGGGCTGATGTCAGAAGATGCACGAATTGAAGCCTGACAGGCCGCAAGACATGCGACCGCACTCGTTTGGAGTGCTTCGTGGCCTGGTCAAAGCAGCAGACTGGCAGATTGATTAGTAGTCTTCCTGTTGGGTGTGGCTCACACATTCACAGTCAGGCGGAAATATCAGGTGATATGCCTTTGAGCCAGGGGTGAGTGTTGGGTGCGACAGACTATGATCCACACTCACATTTGAAGTAGGTCTCTTTGAGCTTAATCCGCATCTCATCTCCATCGGCGAAGAGCCGGCAGCCAGCGGCACAAAATCAGAAGGATATTTATGTGGTTTGAGATTGGAGCTGAGGTTGTTTTGCAGTTATGGATGTCCATGGATCATTGATCATATCAAGAAGGGAACGCAGTGAAGAGACAGGTCAAATCTAGTTCCTCTAGTTCTTCACTGTGTTTTCATTATGTTGGCACGAATGCATATTGGATCCTGGGTCCCTCGAATCGGGTCGGCCTTGCTGTACAGAGGCTCGTGACCCGAGTCATCAGCCGCCAAGCGGCTGCTCACTGCTTCACTTGGTTCTGTGAGCGATAATCCATCGGATCAACCTGACCGGAGCTGAGGGTTGACGAAAAGCCGGTCCTGAGTCAGATGTGCGGGAGTGTGTCTCCAAATAGAAAACCCTGCAAGAAACCCTCCAAGAAAGACAGACTAAACACATTTTGTCGAATGTCCTACAGTTTTGTATTGATGCTCCTTACCAGCACCCATTGGTGAGGGTGTCTCCCTATTGGCAGGCAGTGTGGTATTAAAACCTCTCAAGCCCATGCACGGGCTGGCGAACCAGGATTGACTTGGGATTGACTTGGGAGGCTTTGTACAGACCAGCTTCGCAGCACACACCAATGAATCAGTTTATTCAACATTTATATACTGTTTGTGTTTTCAGGTGATATTCTGGTACCCCAGCCGCCCGCCATAGGGCGTCCACCTAACAGAGCCTAACAGAGCCTGGTACTATTCATGTTGTTCATATTTACTATATATTTGTTTTTGTTCTTGGATTGTTTTTGCCTTTTTGGATCCTTGAGTTCATTTACCCTCCCCTCTGATCCTTTGCCCCATCCAATTCTCCCAAACCATCCAGCCACTCCGGGACAGCGTGACGTGACTGGTGGGTCTCGGGACCCGAGGAAGTGGAAGCCGTGGATGCCATCTTGGACGGCTTCCAACTGCCCCGGCGCCACACGGACGGGGCCGTGGCACTGTCCATCGGGCGTCGGTGAAGGTGGCTGCTGATAGACCGGAGCGAGAAGAAGCAGCGGTGAAAACGAGGACCATTTGCGGAACTCAATTTAGAAGACCTGAGGCCACCTTGAACAGAATACTGTTAGTTTATAGATGTATATAGGAACCTCACCCCGAAGACTTGCGCTTGGACAGGTTCAAAGCATAGAACCCACAAAGGACAGCACTATTGGAAGTCCTGGAGGATCAATATTCCTTTCAAGCCATGGTTTTGATGAATCTTGGGGGTTGTTGGGGAGGCTTGACTGGTGGAGTTAGGAGATAGGTGCATTGACTGGCTATTCTGGAACATGTTAGCAGGTGTAGGGGCTGGCATGTAGATGGGTGAGAAAAAAGTACCGTTGTGCTCTGAGAAGCCCTTGGTGAATAATGTCAATTGTTGTTTTTATCTCTTTGGGGCTGACGTTCAACGCAGGAAAACCGGACAACCACGGCAGTTTCCTGCGGTGAACGCTGCAGCGAGTCAGTTGCTCTTCCGGGTGTGGTCGACCACTGGAAGACTTGTGTGATTGCAGAATGATGAACTTAATTTTTGGCTTCAGAGATTCAGACTATTTGTTACATGGAACTTGGAACCATCCATACAAAAGGGGTTGATTTGGCGAAGAGTTGCCTTTTTGGGTCAAAGAACGCACATAAAAGACATGTTTCAACTGAATGACAGGCGCCGGGCACCCATTTGGGGTTTCTTGGACTCACCTCGTTGCACATCAAAGCTGTCAAGTCAGCTCAGCAAAAGCCCCCACCCAGCGCGGAGCGCGGAAAAAGTGGTCATGTGACCAATGCACACGGCTACTGCTCACAGAGGAATGTACAGAAGAATAGGTGTTGGGAGCAGCAATTCCAACTTGTACCTGACAAGATGGGCTGACAGTTTCCTGACAGTTTCCCCTTTTGCACGGGGTAGCAGCATGATGGACCTGCTTGTCATCGATCAAAGACTTGGTGTTCCCCAGACCTATGTACAGGAGCTAAGTCCCAAGAAGGGAGCTCGGCCGAATTCACAGCAGCGGAGTGTCCATTGGATGTCCCAAATGTCTGCTGACCGCTGGATGCGCAATCGGGATGGCCAGGCTTTGGGCCTCAGACAACCGGTGGAGTCGGCCAGATGGCAGTAATCCCTTCCACCTATTAAAAATCACGGCCCCCTATTAAGAAAACCTCGGGAGCACTTTTAACATAGGGGGTCCCTGAAATCGGGGTTGTCCAAAGTAGGGTCACCTGGGAAGAGCTTCAAAACCAAAAAGTAACCCAGGATTGTTTTTTGTATAACATCATTTATTAAACTCGTATCAAAAATTCAAGAAACATCCAGATCGAAGGGTGATGTCGCTGTGCCATGCGGTTTTGCGTGACCTCGGTGGCAAGTGCGTTTGCGTGAGTCCGTGCCATTGGGGGAAAGAAAAACTGCTGGTGTAAACGCCGTGTGTCATGGTCCGGTGGATAGACAGCAGTTACGGTTGTTTTTGCAACCTAAAAATCTCCCCAAAAATCGGCCATGTTGGCTGTTAGCGGCTTTAAAGGGCGGTAATTCAATAACGCATATAAAATTATAGGAGGTTCGGACATTTTTTTTAAAACAAGGTGTCTGCTTTTAAAAAGGTGCTCGGGACTAGCCTTTCCTTGTTGGACTGGGGAAGTGTCCGCACCGCAAAGCCCCCAAAGATACAAGGATATTATGACAAATAGCTAATTTCACTTCCTGAAGTAGTCATGGAAGTGGATGGCATGGCCCCTTAGATGACGATTTTCCTCTACAGGCAGAACGTACGGCGATAACCTGCAAACAAAGCAAGATTCATTCAGGATCAAGCCAAATTAAATGAGTGAGCAAGTAAGCAAGTTAGTAAGTGAAGTAGGTAAGTAAGTGAAGTGGGTAAGTGAAGGAAGGAAGGAAGGAAGGAAGGAAGGAAGGAAGGGAGAACTTACCATTGCCAATACTAAATGAATTGCTGCCAGCCTCCCACTATGGGAGGATATGGGAAGCTTACAGAGAGAAAATTTGTACACCTGAGCGCCGCGCTTCGACTGCGTCGTGCGCAGCGAAGGAACAAAGCAAAGTGGTAGGATTATCAACTCACACGCCACGGAGCTTTTCATTATGACGAGAATTCAAAAATGACAGAGTCATCGGCTCAGGCCGATGTCGACATGCAAGTCCCTTTGGGCAACAATGGGACTTCATTATCAAGCACATCCACACATCCACGAATGGATGTGGCCGGCACGCCCCGAGAAGGCAGTGCCCACAATTGTTCTCTACCAACAGGTGGTCCACTTTCATGCTAGTGACTCGGGGTAAATATACATCTAGTTCGCTCTCTCTCTCTCTCTGTGTCTCCCTCTTTCGTGTTTACTTTATGTTATATCCAATGTATAAAAAATAAGTAATATATATATATATAGTAAAATGACACCCTAATCTTCAAAGGCTAAGTTAATTTCGACGTTGTTTCTGTCTATGTTTAACCAGGTTAAACTTCGTCGTTCTGCGGAGTCCGTTCTGTCTAAGACAACTAACATGAGTAAAACTTAGACGCACTGAGGTGTACCAGTTTAACTTCGACGTTTCTCATTGGCTAAGTTAAACTTCGACGTTGGAAGTTCTGGGTATATATATAACATATATATATATATTGTATGTATATTATGTTTATTTATTTGTATTTGTTGTCCGGTTGTCCCCCTGGGTCCTGGGTCCTCATTGCTTGACCCAGTATTTGCGTGGAAACCAAACCTTGTTGAACAATTGCATGATAGCAAGCAGGACTTGCAGGACGACTTCTTGTCCCAAAAGGCCCACGCAAGGTTTGATTGTGACTTTTGTGAGTTTTTTGGTTCAATCAGATGGACGTGTTTTTTTTGGTACAACTACTGTCACGAGAGGAACCTCTGGGTCTAGATCGATTTTTTTCTCAAGCACACCTGAAGCCTAAGGACTCTCCGAATCCTCTAGAAACTCTTCAGACCCTCACCGAGTCACTCCAGGACCATTTTAGTGTTCCAGGCGGTTAAAACATGTGATTTGCCGATCAGCCGAGCTTTCTCAGGGAAAGATCATGATGAAATCAAAGATCGGTTTCCAGACCAGCTGCTACCACTTGGACAACAAAGTAGGCGCGTTCTTGATGGAGGCCCTCCTGTGTCACAGAACCATCTCGAACTCAGCCCTCAACAAAAGCCTGGACTATCCACTGTGATGATGTTGTGTATGGCCCTTTGAAAGCACACTGGATTTTGTGGCAGCACTCTCAAGCAGGCTGTGGCCCTCGATTGCGCAGGAACTTCGAAGGAATTCGCGAAATCGGAAACTCTTTAGATGAAATCTCTTGGAAGCTCAGGTTTGGTCTCTGGCTGGTCATGTGTCATGTCAGCTGGCGTGCACAGCTTGACGCGAAGAGCGCGGGAATTATTCAACCATATTCAATCAATTCAAACGTGTTGTAGTGTGTCTCAGATAGTCAGCTGTGAAGAGTCTCAATTTGTGCTAATTTTGCAGTTGTGTTTACGAGTATCGTTTCCTGTGGTCCTTGCGTTTGCCCCACGTCACAGGCTTGTGCCCCTCAGCCCAGAAACCCTGGACCATCGGAACTAGGTTACTGAGGAAACCGCCAAGACAGGTTGGTAGTTTAACGAAGCCTCGACCCGAAGCTGTCGGCTATGACTCCTGGAGCTTCCAAGTTGGTCAATGCCGACTCAGCGAATGGCGTCCGCACAAGGATGCCAACAACGAAGCAGCTTTGGGCGGAGTGCACCAATCATCCCCCCGAATTCCACCGATCCACGAGTTTGCACGAGTGGCTGGCGCGGTTCAGCGAATAGGTTCCAACATCGGGTGTTCCAACCTCGTCGTCCTTGGCGCGGCTCGGCGAGCCTGTCGTTTTGGGTCGCCTGGACGGTGCTTAGAACTCGCCTCAGTGGCCTGGAAAAAGGCGACAGCGCAAGGACACAAGGAGAGGAGGAAGTGACAAATGACACCAACCTATACCAACCTGGTGAGAGAACTTGGAAAACTGGTGAAGGAGTGAGAGGGACAAGTTCTGGTGAGAGGAGTGGGAGAGGTGATTGGGAAATGAAGCGGGGATGAAGCTAAACTGACCAGGCATGTCGCAGCCCGAGAAACAACGATCACCTTCTGTCCAACAAGATAGATGAGGTAGATTTCGGTCCATGTCGAGGGAACCCACAACCACTTCTTTCAAACGCGTAGACGGTATCACATGATATCCCCCAAAACTGTTTCAGTCTGGGACACACAGACGCACACACACACAGACACACAGGCACACTTAGATTCATAGCTTAACTGAATGAGCATGAGTTTCAGAATCTGGATATATTTGGATAGAGGGGATCACACTGCATACCCAAGTAGGAAGATGCAGCTGGACACGCTTAGATTCATAGCATTTCATAGCTCAACTGAAAGAGCAGGAGTTTCAGAATCTGGATCACGAGTGCACTAGCCCTTTATGTTACAGTTATAGAGCGCTGGAGACCTGATGCCTGAAGACAGCCCTGTGAGGAACGGAAAGGCGGAAAGGTCAGAAAACGGTTTAAACCACGAGAATTCGGCAGGTACACAGTCAGACGTCTCTGACTGCTTCCCATGACATCACTAGCTTCGTTGGCCAGCGTCGTGATGTCTTGCGCCGGTCCTGGTGAAATCTAGAAGAAACAGAGGTGGACACACACACACACCCAAACAGGAGAATCTTTGTGACATTATTGTTTGGGAGACCTCCCCGGCAACGACCCGACCCTCCCCAAAGGGAAAGCCGATGATCAAAGTACTTAAAATAGACCCAGGTCCATTGGTTTTGAATTTTATGTAAAGTACATGGCCCACTTACGCCCATATATTGAGCCCCCCCCGGGGGAAGGGAGTAGTGAGAGAGAGAGAGAGAAATATATGTGTATATACAATATACATATGAATTTCTGGACCGGCACGCCACGGATGAGACGACGTGGTGAC